CCAGATAATTACAATAGTAACATGTCAAAACAGTAGGTGACAGTGGTCTATACGATAAAGTGGACCGAAATTCTATAAACTTTCCTCTATCAACTTTCGCAATGGCTACTTTAATGGAAGCTTCGTTTCATGAACAGTTGTTGAAAAACAAAGTGTCTGATAAACATGTCCTTATTATTGACCAAGAACGAATATTTTGCGTCACTTGCGTGAAAGAAACATATATCTACGATATGTTCGACAGCATTAAGAGAGGTCTCGTTTCAAATTGTCATGATGGTCTTGACGAACAACACGTATAACAACACCGGGCGTAGTTGTCAAACCTATCATGTCCAAGGAGTTCGGATCGCGAGGCCATCTCATCATCAGATTAACGTAGATCCAAATTAAAAGTAGGAGATACAATTAAGGAGTCTAATTCATTTCAGTCAATCTGTCTTAAATCCAAAATTTCAGTCAATATGTTCATTGCCTGACTGAATCAGTCGATATACATATTGACTAATTTTTTAGTCGATATACATTTTGACTGAATTTCTTAGTCACTATACATATAGACATCTATATTACTCAAAAACAATAACGTACTACCAGAGTTTTTCATATTGATATAGTTAATATGGCAAAGGCCCGGCCATTTGTTGTATATATGCTGTATATATGTTTATAACGAACTACGGTTATTACGAACTAAAACTAGTTGTCCCTTGTGTTCGTTATAACCGTAGTTTATTGTAGTTATACGAAAGAATCGGGCGCTCCTAACTGTCTTTTTAGTTGTATAATTGGGTGTAATACTACCCTGTTTGATTAATGATAATTAGCTCGGAAAAGTCCTTGTATAGAAGCGAGGACTTTATTGTTTTATATCTTCGGGTTGATCTTGTGTTTGTATTTTATTGCATCCTCATATGCCATTGATGTGTCATTCATAGTGAATGATTCAAATGACTCCAAGTTATATTAACTTACAGGAATGTAACGTGACTGTGTATGGGCCTTAAACGACGACGACGACGACGACGACGACGACGACGATGATGATGATGATGATGATGATGATGATGATGATGATGACACTGATAATAACAGTGACAAATGTGTCTAATATGATATTTATCTTGATGTCCGTTGTTTGTACATCGCTTTTGTCTACCTAAAACAAACAGAATTCTTACAGGATTCTATCTTTTTCCTCTGCTGGAGAATTATTTTTAAAAAAGCTTCACGTTATAAATTATTAGGCCCTACAAACTATTTGCACTTTAACTATCTCCCAACTGTAATGTAACATCTACATCAAGGCGAAACCTACTTATTTAAATGAACATTGAACAAATGACTTTCTTTATTTGTGTAAACATACCATTGTCTAAATATCCTTCCAATCACAAAACAGTTTTAGAAACAAGAAAAACAAACAAGCAGCTCCTCCCCGCCTATCTATCAAGTCTTATACTAGACAGGAAGTGCTCTGTCAGCCGTGTTGAAATACCCGCCTGGTAAGAAGACAATTAATTTCTGAGGTCGCTAGTCTCGGGGTGAAATTAGACGAAAAGCCGAGGAATCACAGTTGGAGGGGAGTTTTTTCTCTTCTGAAAAGACGCACAGAGGTGTGGAGTGAATTCTGGAAACCCGCACACCGCGAGCTTTAATTGACTAATCACCTCCTCAGCGGTAGTCATGTTCTAACACCCAGTCCTTCATAAACCCGTCACATTCGCTTTCACATACAGAAAAGTGAACGTTAGGGCTGAATTATAGCGTGTATCTCTATCGGTGCTTGTCTATCTCAACTATCAGTAGTTATTTTCGTCCTATTAATTTCTACAGAGATCTCTCGCCAGGCTGGGGATCCCCTGTCACAAGCTATTAACATGGTCATCTACCTGTCTGTTAAAGCCACATGTAGTTGTCATATCCAAATAGAAAGCATGTTTGTATATGCCTATTTGAACGTGGCCAAACACACCTGCAGAAATATTCCAGTGTTCATGCTTTGTGTAGAATAACGGTATAGTAATAATAGTAGTATAATAACTTCACTGGAATACATTCACATTCTTCTCATTCCAAACATTGCAAGATTTGTCTTTAAATATATATAGGGATAATTAGGTATGCACTGACCATCCTTGTCACTCTGTGTTAAATCGGCTGTAGAAATAGATTTAATAAAATATAAAGGGGTACTGTTCTCGACGAGTTTGTGCCCATATTCAGCCCAGGTCTACTGTTTAAATCTGGCGCCCCAGTTTGATATTTCCTTGTGGGATGGGAGTCTTGTTTTAAAAATAATTAGTTCCCAGAATACTGGAAAATTGTATGCCCACTCCCAAAGCCCACCTCCGATAATATTACAAGGCCGGTGCTATAGTGCTATAAATAAACTTGAGACATTGTCTGAATGTAATAAGAATAACCCTACGGACCTTCTTACGGACCCCAGAGCATTTATTAAAAAAAAACAGTCTCGAGTATCTGCCGGTACAGTTCCATTTGGCCTAAGAGGCAAAACAATGGTAAAGGTTATATGACAGGATCGCTGAAAATCAGTAATGACAACAGGTGTTCGCGAAAAGAGAAACCAGGCTACCGGTGTGTAAACATTCACCCCATTCCATTCTCACCCCATTCCCAGTACTAGCACTAGCAGTCTACACTCACCCCATTCCCAGTACTAGCACTAGCTGTCTACACTCACCCCATTCCCAGTACTAGCACTAGCTGTCTACACTCACCCCATTCCCAGTACTAGCACTAGCAGTCTACACTCACCCCATTTCCAGTACTAGCACTAGCAGTCTACACTCACCCCATTCCCAGTACTAGCACTAGCAGTCTACACTCACCCCATTCCCAGTACTAGCACTAGCAGTCTACACTCACCCCATTCCCAGTACTAGCACTAGCAGTTTATACTCACCCCCTTTCAGATAAAAAATAAGAAGACTTGAGGGTTCCTCAATAATCGAGAGGACTTTTACAGATTTAGTTCATTTAGCCTCATGCATAGCTTTATTTTAGGGACTATATGTCACTTTAATGTGCATTATACAATGAGAAACGAGAGGGGTTTGAAAAAGCTTGAGGTAAACTTGCTGAGACTGCAAATTTATCTTGAGAATAATTCCCCATTAACATTCTTTGTGATACAATTTGTTTTCTATATGACATGACTCAAAGGTCAATGAAAAGAACATTAAACATAGTCTCTGCTTTTGCCGGGGTGTATTTTTTATTGGCTAAGCCTTATAAAGGCATCCTTACTGTTAAGATGTGATTTGTGCGTTTTGAAATTGGATTGTATGTCGATATGAGTGCATTAGACCGTCTCTCCGAAACTGCGTATAGATCACCTACCAGTGCCTTTCTCGTGAACAACTGTCAAAAAACAGAATTCAAAAAATATCAACCGTAAAAAAATACTCTCATAAAGAATATCGCGTCACAACAAACAATAACTTGCAAACATTCAGTTTCTCACAAACGGCCATGATGTATTGCTGGGGGTCACGCCAAAAGCCAATCAGAATGATTTACAGCACATGTTGTCGCTTGTGACATGGACAAATATGTCGCTTAGATTGAGTTGTTGACAAGCGTTTCGACAAAGCGACAAGCGAATTCACTGGAATGAAATTAACGCCCCGAAATTGACGTAGCGACTGTTGACTATGTCAGTGTTTTAATTGAGAGTTTAAGTCAAGCAGTGTTATTCACCATGTTAATTAAGAGTACGTGCCTCTTTATTCTCAACCTGTCATATGGACTATCTGTTCTGTCATTAGCAGCATTCCCGTTGTTTCTGCTGAAATATAGGATATGTGCCTGGATGGGAGATATGTCCTCCAACATGTTGCGTGCAGCTATTGGTGCATAACCCTTCCTACAGCATAACTGGTAGCATTCGGAACACTTACATTCAAACTGGTGGGACGGTAACGGTCTCTGTTTTGTTACAGTCGTGATCAATGTGTAACAAGTGGCTAAGTGTGCTAGCATAGGAAGCCTCAAACACTATATGCATTCATTTTCGTATTCATTTAATCCCTCTAGTTTTCAGTCACTGAATAAGGAAATTTAACATAAAAATATTTGGAATTAGTTATCACCAAAAAATAATTGCACAGATTTCTGTCAGTTTGTAAAATGACTGAAATATTTAGGCATTTTGATAATTAAGAGTTATTTAACACTATAAGTTTCTACTTACGAAAGAAAAACATGTTTATTTAATTACTTGCCATTAATAGACCATATTTATATTTTATCATAAAGCCTTATGTTTTTAATTACACATCGGACAATTAGATAATTTCATGGTTACATTCAACTTGACCTTCTTTGCTGCTTTGATTCCCTATGTGAGTAATTTTCAGTGATTTTCAGTAAATTTTCCATTTATTCAATTTTCAACACTAATTTGTCTTTTACGCCCAATTGAATCTGTTACGACAGAAATAAGAAACTAATTAGTGGAAAGTGGACATCAATCTTTACTTATATATAGTGATCATACATTCCATTGACATTACACGTTTATTGTATAAACCTCAGATGATATGTTGCTTTATTGTGGAGACGTCAAGGGGCATTTTTTCGCCGGGGTATCTGACAACACAATTTCACGAATTACGTCATAGGGTGTTGTGACGTGTTTGAAAAGTTTGTGGTACTGTATTCCAAAGCTGGGCTCAGAAAGGTCTACTTGAAACCAATTGCGAAACGTTAAATGTTCGTGATGTCATGTCCTGTCATGATGTCAATCACTCGATTGTCTAGCCCAGACACAATTACTTTGAGCCATCGTCAAACAGCTGGAATTGAGAGCGGCGTTAAACAACAAACAAACAAACAAACAAATACTGGGAGCCGTACCACCCTTAGTAAAGGTTTTTAACTTCTAATTATCTATTAACCAAACAGACAAGTAAATAAAATCGAAGTGTACAAATGCCGACTTTCAACTCATGTGCAATATTTTATATCAACAGGTCCCCGTATTCGCAAGATGAGGAAGAGGGAGAAGAGCACGGAGGAGAAGAGGCCCCGGACAGCGTTCACAACAGAGCAACTGGACAGGCTCCGTGATGAATTCAACGACACCCACTACCTGTCCGAGGATCGACGTCGTGTGCTGGCAAAACAACTCAGTCTCAACGAAACACAGATCAAGATATGGTTCCAGAATAAAAGGGCGAAGTTAAAAAAGTCATCGTCCTCCGAGAAACCTCTTGCCAGTAAGCTAATGGCAGAAGGGCTATACAACCACTCAACGTTCAAACCTGACGGAAGCTGACGTCAAGCGTTTCAGTGATGCCAAAGACATGTGCATTTAATGTTGCTGCGTTCTAGTTGTGCGCAGTATGATACAGGCTTAACGTTGTGGCCCAGTGCGTGAAGGTAATAGTTGGGCCATTGGTGCATGATGCTAAAAACAACCTCTATTTCACGATAAGATTTTATGTATATAGAGCTTTTTCAATATTCATTGAATGATTCACCAATAAGCAAGGGAACAATCGAACACTTCAGTTGTGTCGAAATACCGGGTGTTAACCAGGAAGAACAGCCAGAGACTGCACCCATCACCTGTGCGTTGACACCGGTATCCCAGTTCCCCGGCAGAACAGGTGTAACACCTCGAAGGAACAATGTACATATTATACACAACAGCTGTAAATTTGGTATTTTATCATTTCCAAGATCTATATGTTATAAACCCTTATATGTAAACTCACATGTATTTGTGCATATGTTGAAAAGGATGAGGTTATGGCTCACTTGAAAAGTCAATTATAAATTTACGGGAATTATTTACATATTGTTTTGAATGTTATTGGGCATGTTTATATGATAAGCACTGCTTTTTCTTTCTGTCGCTTGCAATGTTTAACCTTATGCAAATGATATGGCTAAAATGAGTGAAGATTTCAACTGTAATAGAATGAGCATATCCGCTACCCAAGGGGAATATTTTACCATGTTTGTACTGACTTAGACTGCATCTCAGAAAATCGGCCTAGGTCAAAGACATTCTTAAAGTGATGATAACGTTCATAACGTTTTCTGAGGATATGGCATATTTCTGATACACTACTCAACAATTGATAGGGATAATCAACTACGTCATTTTATTTAAATGTACACGTGACGTGTAAGAATCATTTTTGTACATAAAAGAAAGGTTACAAATTTCCCTATCAAAAGCGGAGTAGCATATAATGGAAACGAAGTAGGTCCTTATCAAAGCTAGTTCTTTCGATGAATCATGACAAGCAATGTGTACGTACCGAATTATAGTGTAGTGCATTCTTCCTACGCAGTGAACTTTAACACGAAATACTAATAAATCATTTTGTAAAAAATATTTTTCCGAAGTTTTTTACATTTTCTATTTCCTGCATCTCGGACAAAATATTTCCAAAACAGACTTACTGGTTTTTACTTCGGCTCCCAGACAGGTTATCAGTGTCATAAAGATGTTGTGGTGGACCGCCTGTCCTCGAGATGTCCTCGAGATGAGGACACATCTTCCCTCCTTGGACCAAGCAACAAGCAATATTTGAATCCCAGTGTTTCTATGATGCTGTCTTTGATGAAATCGCCTCATCAGCAGCCAGACGCACTGAATTATCTCTTTACGAATAAATTACACTATTTCGACATGGTTTCTCGAGTTTTATTTTCAGAAAACGCCTTTCAAATCTTGATAGTCGACCTTATCTGGATTTACTGACAGCATTGCTCTCGAATTAAATGGAAGATTTAGTGCGAGACGAAAAAGTTAATGTTTTTGTATAAAGCGACTTGGTACAGGTAAAAGCCTACTTCTCAGAATCTGTTAATATCAGTATTGGATTACTTAACCAACACTGATGTTAAACGACCTTTGTCAGTTCGTATAGGAAGGAGAGCACAGCAAATGAAATGTCTTTGAATAAAATGGCTGATTAAATCATGAATTTTATCTTCTTCTGGTCGGACTCTGCGACAAACATGAAATTGTAATTTGAATATCTGGCATTACACTCTAATAGAATCAACAGCCCTGGAGCATATTTGGTTTGGATGATGAGGGATGATGGGGTTTTTTGCTTCTTTGTAAGATGGTAAGTGCATACATATGAAGCCAGAGCATGTATTTTAGTTCAAAGATCAAAGTACCGATAATAATTGACTGGATGGAAGTACATGTGGGCAATATGTGAAATGATGACAATGCAAAATAATTTACAAGATAATTAATCAGCATATGTACATCCTTTGTAATCTCATAATACATTTAAAATGTGATTTTACATTCCATATCAACTTTATAACATTCATCAGTCGGTACCGTCCGAGTTTATCGACTTAACAATGACACTACAGCTGACGTTTCATTGACGTCATAATGACGTCATGTTTGTGTAACATTGACGTCACTTCCTCCCTGGGAGCCCTGGGATACTGCAGTGACAGGCGTCTCCACCCAGCTGGATCGAACATAGATAGTCGCATATGTCTGTCGTGATAACTGGCGCAGGTGTCGTCCCGGAGTGGTGAGTGAGGTTTTCCTGGGGCGCAGCCCGTTCCCGGATGTCTAGAGGTAAAGCGACATGAACATAAGTAACAGTAAGAGGGTACAGGACGCTAGATTTTTAGGTTAGTGGACACGCTTCCCTCGTGATCTGAGGGAATGGAATCATTCAACCCATATAGTTATTAACACAATTAACACAACTGATACACGTACGTGTATCTAATGCCTTACCACCTTGTATAACCAATTAGCTTTTTTTTGCAACTGTATGCATACACACACATCGAAAGCCAAATTCTCCTTAAGGAAGAGCGAATTCCAATCTATAATAAGTACCAACCTTTAAATCTGATGATCTGTCCATGTTCATCTGTCCATCTCTCCACGTTCGCACAGTCGCAGTGGTCCATCTTCTTCATGGCGGGGAAGTCATCCCCTTGCGAACAGAAGATGAGGCACACAAGAGGGGAGGCGTAGACGTAGCACGCTGACAGTGCCAACGTTGTCAGGATGGGCACACACGACCGCATGCTTAGTTCAGCAGGACTCACCTCTGACTGAATTCGACAAACTTGTACGTAGACTGTCGAATTGATCTGGGATAAAAACATATATACTTTACTTTTCGTTCAACTACAGAAGAAGAATTATGTCTTCTTACAAATACTCATTCTTAACAAATTATCTATCCTGATGATGTAGCGTAGATTTCACTTCGAGGGTGCACTTGTTGACAAGTATGCATGCATGGCAATATAGTAAAGTACGTTTATAACGAACACGCTTACAACGAACTGACGGATGTAACGAACTGATTTTTATGTCCCGACTTTTTGCTATAATTATGCTGTATATATATATGCTTATAACGAACTTAAGTTAGTGGTCCCTTTGAGTTCGTTATAACCGTAGTTTACTGTAGTTGGTGAACAAGGAGTCGTCTGTGTAGATTCCGAAAAGCTTGTCCAAAGAGCCGACTGAACACCCGTTCTTCAAGCTTTGAACAACTGTTACGGCCGTCCTGACATTGCTGGAGCACGCACGCACGCACGCACGCACGCACGCACGCACGCACGCACGCACGCACGCACGCACACACACACACACACAAACGCATGCATGCACGCACTCACGCACTCACGCATTCACTCGATGTCACCTAACTATAAATAGACAATGCCTTTTAGAAAGTGGTCAAATGTAACGTATGCTGTATTTGGGATAAAACTTTCTTAGGAAAGTAAAAACTCTAGTCCCCAGAGTGAGTCGCTAATCGCTATTCAGTGTGCTGACGATAGGGTGCTTTACGCTGAGATTGTGGATTCGAATCCCGGATCTGACTCCACATAAACAAGTACTAGAATTTGTACTTTACCGAGGAAGTGTTGTCCCAGTACAGCATATGTCATATCTCTGTCATGGTCACACAACTTATACATGACACACAAGGCTCCCTAAATTATCATTATTTACTAAATGATATAAAGCTATATAACTCAGAACCCCTTCACGTTTCAAGCAACCTAAAAAACGTAATTCACATGCCATGTGCCTCTTAAGAGTCAGCTGATATTATACCGAACTTATTTATTTGTTTATGGCAGTGCCCGACAAGGTGAGGCAAGGCTCCTACCTTCCACAAACACACCGTAAATCAGGACACTACGCCGGGAGACAGAAAATACATTATCTGCTTGTAACCAAGAACCTTTGGTGGATCTTTATGTCTTAGGAGCTATGTAACACTAAGCCCGGATACACGGGTATGTTTGTGAGCTACTCCACGGCGTGTAACGATGGCAAGGCCACTCTTGTTTATGATACTCGTAACGTGCTGTATTAAGTCCTTGTAAGGTGAGACACCACGTCCTGCCTGTCATTTCAACGTATACGGATTTGCATTGATGGTCCTGTGGTTGGAATTGCCATGTGTAACCCACGTGCGCACACCGTTAACAATACCAGGAGATTTGACCACAGTCCGCATGTACTGGAATCTATATGATTCTCAAGTAGTCGTATATGTCGTGGTAACAGCTCGCTGCGTTACAGAGCAGCTTGTTGTGTTTTTCAGTTGTTTATTTACAGCTTTATGTGTTAGGCAGGTTAACAAGCATACAGAATGACGTATCCTCTCGTTAGATACGTTTTGAAATACACGAGGCCTAATAAACACAGTATTTGAGGAGACACCTATGTAATTACTTATGAATTAATTTGGTAATTCAAAGACGAAAATGAGACATTAAATACTGTTTCCCAGTGATGAATGATACAAAATAAACAAAAGTGACTCGACTAACTGACGTTAAAATAGTAAGTTTGCTGTACATTAGAGATAATTGATAACAATAAAATAATCGTGTCAAATGATGCGCTCAGGTAGGAGTGAGTGAGTGAGTGAGTGAGTGAGTGAGTGAGTGAGTGAGTGAGTGAGTGAGCGAGTGAGTGAGTTGGGTTTAACGGTGTAGGTCTCAGACGTTTAGCACTTTGGTGAAACATACGAGCACGGGTATGGTTTTGACAACCTAAAATCAAGGTCGGGGCGAACGGGATTCGAACCCACGATCATAGGTTTCTGGAGCGCCCAAAGGGACCTTAGACGACTTGGCCACCCGTGTCCCCTCAGTCACACTTATGAATACAATTACAGCTTAGTTACTTCGAGGCTGTAGTAGCAGTGATCGTGTTGTGTATTAGAACCACGAAAGCCAAAATGCCCGTTTGTCTTTGCTGGATTAATCTGTACTGGCGATTACTTGGGATGAAGATAGTGAAGATGAAACTGTTCCAAATTCAAATTCAACCAATATCGTTTCTTTAAAGAAGTTTTAGTTAAATGCATGGATATTTCACTGTCATTTAGAAAAAGGAAGGGAAATGACGTGTGTTGATTTCTCTTTTACATATCACTGAAAAGTGATTGTTGTGCATAATGCTTTCCACGCTTACTGGCTGCATCCGAAGCAAATAAATAACCAGGCAACATATTTCTGCTAGCATCAAAATGACTAGATATTAAAAAATGTCTACAGCTGTGTCATCAAGTATATCCAACTGAAAGGGCTAACTGATGCGGACAAGGTGTCACCGTTAGGGGATGATACTCCCTCTTTTGCCTCTGTTAAGAGGTGAGCAGTTGAGTTGAAGATGAGGAGGAGAGAGCATCGAGGGGAAGACCTTCAACCGCCACCAAGCAAATTTGATATTTTTTCTGCTTCAGCTGCAAAACCATTTTTTTTAATTAAAACTATGAGCCTAAATATTTTTCGTTAAAAAGCGTCTTGCAACAACGTTGTTTTTCAGGCTGACAATTTCTTTTTTTCCCAACAGCCTAAAGCATAATTCTTTTTCAAGCACTTTCTGTGACAACTTTTTTAAGAATATCAACAGGTCACTGTGTACAATAATGTCCATGCTTACAGACTGCATCTAAAACAAATAATGTGTGTATCTCGCATGGTGGATTTCTCCTGTTGGACTATCTCCCAAAAGGTCAGAACATTAATAACCAAAATATGCCAATCTGCTGAGAATATCAAAGCTAAACGTCGTGGAAAACTAAAGGTGTGATTATTCCAACAAGTAATTACACCTGCGCATAGGTTTTCTGTCGCCATGACTACAAAACATGACTGTGGCTTTAAACTCATTGAACCTCCCCGTATTCACCAGATTTGGTACCGTCTGATTCCCACATCCTCCCAAACTTGAAGAAAGAACTGTCTGGCAAGCATGATACAAATGGAGATACTTTCTGCTGGACTTATTAGAGGAATTATGTTGACAAAAGATTAATCAGCCACCAATTCCATCAACGCAGTTCATCAAAAATTGGCTCCAAACTTTTCAGTCACCCTTCCTACTACATATTATACAGATCATATTACGATACAGAACAGATACATGTTACTATATTGGAAGTACACATTACTAAATGAGAAGCACATGCTACTGTAAAGGAAATTCAAACTGTACGGTCAACGAGAGAATAACTAGTGGCAAATATCTGCCGAAACAGTGGGTAAAGAAGTGTGAAAACTCCACGAAAAGGGCACAGTATGGGATAAGATCGCACATCACATTGACAATCGACGTGTCATATTTAGTAAATTCCTCTGAATTCTACAATATTTTTGGAACGATTTAGACAGGGCTTTGAACGTGCAACCTTGTTTGAAAAGCATAATTGCAATCAAATGTCCGTCTGAATAATTGTGCATGCGCTAAGAAGCATCATCACTAGACATATGCTGATATCCTGAGGTAGAGTTGATGTCATGTTGAAGTCACCCCTACTGTCGTGCAGCGGGATACTGAGGCTGCCATCATTATGCATTATACACAGTGGTCTGTCAGTTGGTCATCTATACATCTGAAAACTGAATATGTGTTTTTTTTGTTACTGTATGAGAAGTGTAAGCTACTATATGGGATGTACGGTTTACTATATGGAAAGTCCACATTACTACATAGGAAGTACCTGTTACTATATAGGAAGTCCATGTTACTATAGTGAAAGTTTATGTTACTATATGGATGAAGAGGCTATCATATGGGAAGCACAAGTTACTACATGGGCAGTGAGTGAGTGAGTGTGTTGGGTTTAAGGAAAAGGAAAGGAGGAAAGCCCGAAGTGATGCAGGTCTCAGACGTTTACCACTTCGGTGAAACCCACAATTATAGGTTTCTGGCGTGGCCAAGGGACGCAACTCTGCACAAAGAATCGCGGCGCCCAAGACGAGTGGGCTACCCGTGCCCCCTATGTGCAGTGAATGTTACTCTATGGGAAGCACATGTTACTATAGGTATGTACAGGGTATTGTATGGGAAATGCAAGTCACTATATGGGACGCACATATTACTATATGGGCAGATAACCGTGAAGATCCGGGTTAGAATAGGTCTTCAGCAACCCATGCTTGCCGTAAAAGGCGTCTATGCTTGTCGTAAGAGGCTACTAACGGGATCGGGTGGTCAGGATAGCTGACTTTGTGATGCATGTCAAAGTATCCCAATTGTGTAGATCGATGCTCATGATGTCAATCACTGGATCGTCTGGTCCAAACTCGATTATTTACAGACCACTGGAATATATGGCTTAGTCCGGCGTTAAACAAACAAACAAACAAACAAAAAATATGGGCAGGTCATGTTACTGTATGGGAAGTGCATGTTGCTACATGGGTAGTACATGTTACCATATGGTAAGTATATGTAACTGTATGGGAAGTGCAAATTACTATGTGGGAAGTGCCTGTTACTATATTGGAAGTGTATGTTGCTGTATGGACAGTATTTGTTACTATATGGGAACTACATGTTACTAAATGGGAAGCGTATGCTGCTATTGGAAAGTGCATGTTACAATATGGACAGTGCATGTTACTATTTGGGAAGCGCATCTCACTATATGTGAAATACATGGTACTGTATGGGAAATGCAAGTTACTATATGGGAAGCGCATGTTACTATTTGGGAAGCGCATGTCACTATATGTGAAATACATGGTACTATTTGAGAAACACATGCTACTATATGGTAAATACATGGTTCTGTATGGGAAATGCATGTCACTATAAGGGAAATACATGCTACTATATGGGAAATACATGGTATTGTATGGGAAGTGCATGTCACTATAAGGGAAATACATGGTACTATATGGGGATTACATGTTACTATATGGGAAGCGCATGTTACTATTTGGGAAGCGCATGTTACTATATGGGAAGTGCATGTCACTATATGGGAAATACATGGTACTGTATGCGAAATGCAAGTTACTATATGGGAAGCGCATGTTACTATTTGGGAAGCGCATGTCACTATATGTGAAATACATGGTACTGTATGGGAAATGCAAGTTACTATATGGGAAGCGCATGTTACTTTTTGGGAAGCGCATGCTACTATATGGGAAATACATGGTACTGTTATGTTTTAGTAAATAGGTGAGGTGAAGTGAAATGGGGTTTAACGTAGCGTCCAAGATGATTATTGCACTTATATAGCGACGTGCATGTACGTGTGTGTGTTTGTGTGGCTGCTTGTACTAGTCCGGACCGATGCCGATTTATAGTGCTAGCCCACTGAGATACCATGCCGCAGTTTAACATGAATACCCCACTCTGACACAGTATACTGACTCCGAGCCGACCAGTCCTTGTTTTAGCCCCTTAATGTCGAGCGCCAGAAAGGGTAACAACAAGTACCATATTTTAACGTCTTTTGGTATGACGCGGCCGGGGATCGAACCCCGGACCTTCCACTCTCCGGGCGGACGCTCTACCACTTGACCACGGAGGCGGTCTTTTAGTAAATACGTTTACTTACAAAAAGGACAGGTTACTATATAGATCACAGCTCTGGGAAGCAAACATCATGTTACAGTATGGGAAGGACCTGTTGTATGGGAAAAGACAGGAGTTGTGGTATGCGAATAACATATCACTGTACATGTAGACAGGTAACTGTATGGTCATTAAAGGACATGGGTAGATGCATGGGCGTTATCATTAGAGCGAGACATTAGTGTGGTAATTTGTTGTCATCGTTGCAATATTACAATTAGGCTTGGGGGTAGGTTGTTTGAAATTGTGGCTCCAATTTCTGCTTTGGCCCTTTTCTCGTGAATTGTGCACGAGTCGGAATATCCATATGGCATCTGTGTTCTGACGTTAATGTTTCCAGAAAAAAACAGTATTTAAAGGGGCCAAGATTTACACAAGATTTGTTTTGAACCACAATATTTCAAATTTTAGGAACCACCCAATTTCATTTCCCTGTACGAAAGTCAATTATAATAATGTGTTGCAGAACTTGGACTTGGAAGCTTATGATGTAAATTCCTCTAGTTGTAGTTGTGGCTGCCAGTACTCATGACACTTCTACGAACCTACTGGTCAATCTTTGCCCAACTTTATCGAAAATCCATTCCTTGTTCCTCGAGACATTTGTCACAAAATGTGGTGACCGTAGCTATAGTTGCATCTTTTTCTTCAAAGGTTCACGCCATTTTGTCAAAAGTGAACCAGTTGTAATCTGAAGTTTACTGAGAAAACTGTGTGAAAGCTGGACTTCCTCATTGATTGGATGTGAAATTGTGGGGTAGGATATTAAGTCAAGAAGTAGGCATCCCAATTTGCACCAGTTGTATTCCGATTCTTGCTGACCTGTTTCTTGATGACTTTATTAATAAAAGCAAGGGAAATTGTTGAACTTAACCATCAAGTATATCGAAATCGAAAGCGATATCGTTCAATAACCATCAAATAGGCAATACCCTTCCGCGTATTTACTCACCTGAACCAGCGGCCTCACAGCCTCATCTGTTTCATATTTAGATCAATGCATAATAATTCAGAGTGATGAAAAAACAAGATTGTATGGCAAGGGGGATGACTTCAACTTCCCAACTGTCCCTTTATGTCGAGCAGCGCCAGGCGTTCGTGCCCGAATTCCACAACTTTGAGATAAAATCCGGCGTGTTTTTTCTATGAAGATTTCAATACGACTCTTGCTTAAAAGTTGTTTGATCACGGTAAAAAAACCCATTCAAAGCCTTAGTAAAGCTTTCAAAATGTTTTATGCTAGACTTGTGAAGGATTTCCAAATTTGACACCGCAGTAAACAAATCTGTATCCAATGCAATTCCCTGTTATGCCTTGTACCATATGTGTTTCAAGTGAAAAGTTGACTTGCCTTTGTATGTGTTTGTGACAGGTGCCACTGTTGCCCACCTTTACGCAAACACCTGGTGTCATTACTATTTTGATAGTGATTCATAAACAAATTCTAATGATATCGTTGGAATCGTACAATGCTTTTAACAGAGCTCTCTTATGATAATGAAAACGTTTTGTTGCTATTCGTGATCCACAGCGAGAACACTTTCAGATTATCCTTATTAGGTAACTCGGTTGCCTCTTATTTGGTCTGCCTAAACTTACAGATAATATTTACTGCCCCAGATTTTGACTTTGCCAGTTTAAAGTTTGAGTTTGTGTTGTTGTTTTCTATTCATTACAGACATACTGCTCTGGAAATGCAAATATTAACTTTCTATCCCAAAATTTGAGAAAGATAATTCAATCGGGAAATCTAGAAACTCACATATTTAGGTATCCGAACATATGGAGTTACTTTCAGTCTAAACACATTGTGACCACATCGCTTAAAAAATGTAATAAACTTAAATTGTTATTCATTGAAATTAAGTTGGAATAAACAAGTTTAAAAAATAGATACATCCCACAGAAATCATCACATTGTATAATGAGAATTTGTTTATCAAATAGACAGATATTAGTATGTAATGTCAGGTGTTACAATCACTCTACGAAACAACATACAACCTGTCACTGAGTCTTTGGAATGCAGCTATAGCTTGTTTTACCTATATCCATTCCGAAAACAGCACATGTACCAGATATGCGTGTCATGAAATTATCGTGAAATGGAATGTGTACAGAAATAGTGCATTCCGTGCGGAAGGGTCACGGGTTAAATAATATGAATGTAATATAAGATGTAACCGTAAAAACATATTTTAGAAATTACACAAAAATTCATCATAAAAATATATCATTGTGAATATCAATACTTGAACATGGCTTTCACTAGTCAGTGAGTCGAGTCTTAATTCGTATGATGGCCATTGGCCCATATACAGAGAAAGTGTATGAATACATATTACAATGTTACATGAATTAATACACAGCTTACATCATATTATTTCATTTCATAACCTTGACATAGATATTTACATAAATTTCTTGGTAACCTTACATTGTTCGAAGACAAAAGCGTTCTATATTTACACATATTATACGGATTATAACAAAACATTTCAGGCAGATAAGCATGTCTTGTGTTCTTATAGAAATTACATATGATAAAATATGATAAAATGATATTTATCGTCTATCCCTTTATTACAATATTCCAGTAGATGGATAAATGTCTCTACTAACCTTGTGCGCAATTATTTCAAACCAGCAAGATGTTGGTATGTGTGTGCTTTGCTTGGCACTCCTTAGCACGATTGTCAGGGGCCGAGAACCACATAGGCTGTCACAAGTATTAAAGAAACCTAGTATCTAAATGCACCAGTTCTCGGAGTTGAGTTCATTTTAATGACATTTATCCAGGTGAGAGGGTTTCCGGGCAATTCCCTGCTGGAGTCGAGAGTACTAAATGTAGTGTTGATGATCAGCCAGTATGTGGAGGGTCTGTTGACACAGTTGACGGAGATAAGGGACTTGTTCAGTCGCAATCACAAGATATATGTTCCTTCCATTTCGTGTGTTCAAACACGGCAGATTAGAATGGGCTGATTCATCACTGGAATATAGAAGTGCGACTGCTTCTTCACTCGATGTATTTCACCAATGGATTAGCGAATACGTTATGAGGGCACTTGGGGGTGTGATGGGGTATTTGAAGTACAAAAGTAATATTTCATCACGTGAACCACGTACATGTTTAAGGTTTCTTGAGAGTAAGCAACAAAGAGTATAATAATCACATATGGCTAGCTGCTGACTGTTCGGGGCACAGTGGTGTCCTGGTTCGCCCTGAGTTTGATTCTTGGTATGTCAGCTACTTTTGTCTTTCATCGAAGTGGTAAACATCTAAGACCTGATTCACCTTGGGCTTCCGTTCCAGCTCACACGTACGATTTGACATGACCGTAATACAGTTCACAGCGGCGATATCATTGTGTGTGTGCCATGGTGTATGCAGTAATATATGGCATATTGCATGTCACTGTGTAACATAGTGCATGTTATTGTGTGAGTGTCATGCAGAATATAATTAATTTTGGTTAATGCATGTCACTGTGCTTCATAATGCATATCACTGCGTGTCACAGTGAAGCCATCTTACACTTCGGTCGGCAAGGATACTGTATCTAAAATATGTCCTCTTGAAAATATTGATAATACGTAGTCAGTTTGTGAAGACTATTTCAACTCTCTCACTCACATACTCTTTAATGATCTTGCAGTTCCAAAATTGTTTTACACTTCAAATTCTGTTGAATTTGTGCTGCATCCATTCTCTGAGACGTCAAGATTTTCGTAAACGCTTCCATTGCCTGGGATCTCTTTAAATTGTATTCGTATTTACATTAACATATTTAGATTCCTTTATAATAAATTATACGCTGGCAAAACATGACACCATTAGTACTTTTTGATTTTCTTAACAAAAATATCAAATCGACCGTTTCTATCGAAACGACTTTTGAATGATGTAATTTGATATTTCAGTGATATCAATCAAGAGACGAAACTAACTAGGACACTGATATGTTTAGCTACATCAGGGAGTCAATAGAAGTGTCTTCTTCACTGTCTGGTGGGATGAGGACAGTCTGGAAGGATACAGACGCTACATAATTGATGACATATCCTGGTATTAAAGGATTGACTCCAGTGAACAGACGTATTGATGCATTTAATTAAGTTTTGCTTTGTGAATACCAGTGTATGAGTCATACATTTATCACGTTCTTTACCGAGTTAGATATATACAGCCTAAAGTGTGCCATGGGTCTATAATCTAAGCTATGTAGCTCGTTGTAAGAAGTACTGAGAATATATGTTGGAACGAGGACATGTGTTGTCTGCGTGTGACGTGAGGACGCGTTTAACAACTTTCTATTCCTCCCACCTCTCTCTGCTCATTTTTCCTCCCCCCACCCTCAGCTCTTTTTACTCCCACCAATACCAGTTCTCTATTCTTCTCACCACTAACAGGTCTCTATCCCCCCCCCCCCCCCTTCCCCCCCCCCCCCCCCCACTTAAAGCTCTCTATTCCTCCCACCACTAAAAACACTCTATTCCTGCCACCACTTAGAGCTCTCTATTCCTCCCACCACTAACAGTTCTCTATTCCTCCCACCACTTAAAGCTCTCTGTCCCCCCAACCACTAAAAGCTCTCTACCCCCCCCCCCCCCCCCCCCCCCAACTACTTAAAGCTCTCTATTCCTCCTACCACTTAAAGCTCTGTATTCCTCCCACCACTAACAGTTCTCTATTCCTCCCACCACTTAAAGCTCTCTATTCCTCTCACCACTAAAAGCTCTCTTTTCCTCCCACCACTTAAAGCTCTCTATTCCTCCCACCACTAACAGCTCTCTATTCCTCCCACCACTTAAAGCTCTCTATTTCTCCCACCACTAAAAGCTCTCTATTCCTCCCACCACTTAGAGCTCTCTATTCCTCCCACCCCTCAAAGCTCTCTATTCCTCCCACCACTTAAAGCTCTCTATTCCCCACACCACTAAAAGCTCTGTATTCTTCCCACCACGTAAAGCTCTCTATTCCTCCCACCAATACCAGTTCTCTATTCCTCCCACCACTAACAGCTCTCTATTCCCCCACCACTAACAGCTCTCTATTCCTCCAACCACTAACAGTTCTCTATTCCTCCCACCACTTAAAGCTCTCTATCCCCCCAACCACTTAAAGCTCTCTATTCCTCCCACCACTTAAAGCTCTCTATTCCTCCCACCACTAAAAGCTCTCTATTCCTCCCAACTCTTAAAGCTCTCTATTCCTCCCACCACTAACAGTTCTCTGTTCCTCCCATCAGTAACCGCTGTCTATTCCTCCCACTACTAGAAACTCTCTATTCCTCCCAACTCTTAAAGCTCTCTATTCCTCCCAACACTTAAAGCTCTCTATTCCTTCCATCACTTACACCTCTCTATTCCTCACACCAGTAAAAGCTCTCTATTACTCCCACCAATACCGGTTCTCTATTCCTCCAACCACTAAAAGCTCTCTATTCCTCCCACCACTTAGAGCTCTCTATTCTTCCCACCACTAAGAGCTCTCTATTCCTCCCACCACTAACAGCTCTCTGTAACTACGACCACTTAAATCTCTCTATTCTTCCCAGTATAGTGCTTGTGTTTCGTTATGAACTCACAGATTATGGAGACACATAGTCATGTACCTGTAATATTCTCCAGTCGCTCACGTATTGGAATTTCAATGGTTCATACAATTGTGTGTGTCATAGTGCATGCCATTGTGTGTGTCATAGTGCTTGCGGTTGTGTGTGTCATAGTGCATGCCATTGTGTGTCATAGTGCATGTCCTTGTGCATGCCATTGTGTGTGTCATAGTGCATGCCATTTTGTGTGTCATAGTGCATGCCATTTTGTGTGTCATAGTGCATGTTGTTGGTTATGTCGTAGCATTGTGTGTCATAATGCATATTAATGTGTGCCATAAAGCCTATTACATTGCGTGTCTTAGTGCATGTCGTTGTGAGTGTCAGAGTGAATTATGTATGGTTAACGTGTGTCACTGTGTGTCATAGTGCATATCATTGTGTGTCATTTACTTGTCACTGTGTGCCATGATGCATGTCAATGTCTGATAATGAATATCATATTTGTGTCGCAGTATATATTTTGTGTGTCATAGAGCATACCACTGTGTGCCATAGTGAATGTCATTGAGTGTATGTCACTATATGTCATGGCAGATATCATTGAGTGGCATGATGCATATCATTGTATGTGTGTGTCATAGTGTGTGCCATTATATATGGCATAATGCATGTCGATGTGTGTCATAGTGCATGTTATTGTGAATGTGTCATAGTGAATATCATTAATTTTGGATAATGCATGTCACTGCGTGTCATAGTGAATATAACTGTGTGTCGATTTGCATGTACATGTTTATTGTGTGTGTCAAAGTATATATTGTGCTTCATAGTGCATATCACTGTGTGTCACAGTGAATATAACTGTGTGTCGATTTGCATGTATATTGTGTGTGTCAAAGTATATATTGTGCTTTATAGTGCATATCACTGTGTGTCACAGTGAATATAACTATGTGTCGATTTGCATGTTATTGTGTGTGTCAAAGTATATATTGTGCTTTATAGTGCATATCACTGCGTGTCACAGTGAATATAACTATGTGTCGATTTGCATGTTATTGTGTGTGTCAAAGTATATATTGTGCTTTATAGTGCATATCACTGTGTGTCACACTGAATATAACTAAGTGTCGATTTGCATGTTATTGTGTGTGTCAAAGTATATATTGTGCTTTATAGTGCATATCACTGCGTGTCACAGTGAATATAACTTTGTGTCGATTTGCATGTTATTGTGTGTGTCAAAGTATATATTGTGCTTTATAGTGCATATCACTGTGTGTCACAGTGAATATAACTGTGTGTCGTTTTGCATGTATATTGTGTGTGTGTCAAAGTATATATTGTGCTTTATAGTACATATCACTGTGTGTCACAGTGAATATAACTATGTGTCGATTTGCATGTTATTGTGTGTGTCAAAGTATATATTGTGCTTCATAGTGCATATCACTGTGTGTCACAGTGAATATAACTGTGTGTCGATTTGCATGTATATTGTGTGTGTGTCAAAGTATATATTGTGCTTTATAGTACATATCACTGCGTGTCACAGTGAATATAACTATGTGTCGATTTGCATGTTATTGTGTGTGTCAAAGTATATATTGTGCTTTATAGTACATATCACTGTGTGTCACAGTGAATATAACTATGTGTCGATTTGCATGTTATTGTGTGTGTCAAAGTATATATTGTGCTTTATAGTACATATCACTGTGTGTCACAGTGAATATAACTATGTGTCGATTTGCATGTTATTGTGTGTGTCAAAGTATATATTGTGCTTCATAGTGCATACCACTGTGTGTCACAGTGAATATAACTGTGTGTCGATTTGCATGTATATTGTGTGTGTCAAAGTATATATTGTGCTTTATAGTGCATACCACTGTGTGTCACAGTGAATATAACTGTGTGTCGATTTGAATGTATATTGTGTGTGTCAAAGTATATAGTGTGATTTATAGTGCATATCACTGTGTGTCACAGTGAATAGAACTGTGTGTCGATTTGCATGTATATTGTGTGTGTCAAAGTATATATTGTGCTTTATAGTGCATACCACTGTGTGTCACAGTGAATATAACTATGTGTCGATTTGCATGTATATTGTGTGTGTCAAAGTATATAGTGTGCTTCATAGTGCATACCACTGTGTGTCACAGTGAATATAACTGTGTGTCGATTTGCATGTATATTGTGTGTGTCAAAGTATATAGTGTGCTTTATAGTGCATACCACTGTGTGTCACAGTGAATAGAACTGTGTGTCGATTTGCATGTATATTGTGTGTGTCAAAGTATATATTGTGCTTTATAGTGCATACCACTGTGTGTCACATTGAATAGAACTGTGTGTCGATTTGCATGTATATTGTGTGTGTCAAAGTATATAGTGTGC